TTCTTGTTTTATTTGTCTATTCTTATACCAATTGTCTTAATCACATAAGTGTATGATGTGTCTTTTTCGTTGTTGTTAATCCTCACATGTCAACAGCAGAAGAATATCCTCAGATGAGATTAACAACAACAAAAAAGACACACACACACACACACACACACACACACACATGATTTTAGAGAGACTAGAAGGGAGGGAGGAGGGTGAGGTAGAGAGAGAGAGAAACAGTGATGTGAGAGAGACACATTGTTTGGTTGCCTCCTGCACATGTCCCGACTAGGGCTGGGGTTGGAACCTACAAACCAGGTGTGTGCCCATGATTGGGAATCAAACCCACGACCCTTCAGTCCTCTGGCCGGCTCTCTAACCACTGAACTACACCAGCTAGGGCAATAAATCTTGATATTTAGTAGTGTAAGTCCCCCAGGTCTTTTTCCCCCTCAAGATTGCTATTTTGGGTCCTTTGTGTGTCTGTGTAAAATTTAAAATGAACTTTTCAGTTTTTAAAGAAATTCTGGTGGGGTTTGATCAAGAATGCATTGACTACCAATTAATTTGGGAAACAGTAACATCTTAATCATATTGGGTTTTCCAATCCATGCACATGGTATATTCTTCCATTTCTTTAGATCTTTAATTTCACTTATAACATTTCATAGTTTGATGTGTAAGTTTCTTTCTTTGTTTTTTTTTAATCCTCACCCGAGGACATTTTTCCATCCTTTGTACAGATGGAGTGGGAGGGAGAGAGAGGAAGAGAGAGAGAGAGAGAGAGAGAAACATCGACGTGAAAGGGACACATCGAGTGGCTGCCACCTGCACGACCAACCAGGGCCGGGGACAAACTGCAACCGAAGTACGTGCCCTTAGCGGGAACCGAACCCGGGTCTCTCCGGACTGCAGGCCAACGCTCTAACCGCTGAGCCAAACTGGCCAGGGCTGATGTGTAAGTTTCTTGTACATCTTTTGGTAGATTTGGCCTTGGATATTTGGCAATATTGGATGCTATCGTAAATGGTATCTTTTTTATTTTCTGTTTGTTGCTGCTTTGTAGAAATATAGTAGATTTTTGTACCTAGTATTTTTGCTAAATTCATTTAAGAATTTTGATAGTTATTGGTAGGTTGTTTTGAATTTTTTGTGTACGCTGTATATTGTCTGTGAATAAAGCAGTATTATCATCTTTTTCAATCCTTTTGCCTTTCATTTCTTTTCTTGCCTTGTTGCATTGGCTAGCATCTCCAGCAAGCTGTTGACTGGAAGTGGTGAGAGGGGGTTATCCTGGCCTTGTTCCCGATTCAGGGAAAGCTCTCTTGTTGCCTTCTGATGATTTGCACGTGCTCTCCCACATTGGGGTGCCGTAGACTGCGTGGTATCGTTTTGGTCTTTTTGGCCTCACTAACAGCTTGCTGTTCACCCAGCAGCCTGGCAGGCTGAGGCCATGGTTGGGAGGCTTTCAGACTTTGAGCTGTGGTCATTCTTTGCCCATGTGACGGGATGCGGAAGGTTTTGGTCAGTGAGAACACGTTCTCCTTGCTCTCTGCTGCATTTATTTGTGCCCATTTAATAAGAGTTTAAGAGGAGTGTTCTCTTAAGGATTTATAATTAAGACTTTTACTCTTTGGAAGGTTTATGGTTTATTCCATGAAATTAGGTCAACTAAAATTTCCAAGGGCAACTGAGGGTGGAAGAACTATAGGTAATCCTAGATTCAAAACCCCTGGTGGAGGAAATACTAGCACACGCTTAAGCCATAGTGACGCACTTGGTTTCATTTATTCTGTGTGGAACGGAAATAAAAATGAAGAAAACGATGTCTTTATATAAATACATGCATAGTGTCAGAGGCTGCCTAATTAGTGGAGGGACTGTGCCCTTTTTAAAGCAGCTTGTAAATCAAAATGACAGATCCTCTCTACCGCTCACCCCTAAACGTGGGCTGTAAGTGCACATCGTGAATCAGGAAAGACTGCACTCATAAAAGCAGTTGTGTTTCAGTCACAGTATGTTGGCCATGTATCCAGTATCTATCAGAAGCACATACTTCAGGGAGCGATGCACAGACGTGAATGTCAGGTGTGCTTCGCACTAGGTTTCTGAAAGCTGCCGCTCCCGTGATTTTTGAGCGCTCAGAGCCACGTGCTGTCTGCTGTTTCCTCCGCGATCCTGTCCGCAGTCAAGCGTCCGAGACGTGCACATCAAGGTGAAAGGAACTGCAGCGCACTGGAATTTTATTTCATTTAAATGTAAAATTTCTAGTGTGTCTTTACAGTGTGACGACTGCACTGAGCTGTTCAGGGACCTTCCGCCTCCCGGGATGCTGATGGAAGGGGCAAGAGGAGAAAACGGTGGAACGGGTCAGACTGTCGAGAGGCCGTCCTCTGAGGGGAATAGATTTTGTTTTCATTGTGGGATTTTGGTGGTCAGGAGTTTGTGCTTTCGGCTATGGAATGATTAGTTCTTAATGTTCTTCTCTCTGTCCCACCATCTTCGTTAAGATATGCAAACTACTTATTTAGCCAGGCATTCCCAGGGTGGAGGAGTCTGTCACCTGTCACCTGCCGCTCTGCCCGAAGCCCCGCTGAAGCCCCGCTGTCCCCTGAGGCAGTGGCTTCCTGAGGCTTTGGCTCTCTGGAACCCTCTGTGTGAGATGTCCTTGGTTTTTCTCCTGTGACCTCCCAAAGGCAGAACACTGTTTTCCCCACAATTCACTTCTGACCTCAGCCCCTTTTGAGGTGATTTTGGAGACGCACACAAGACAACTTTGAGAGTTCATTTCACTGTGTCACACAGCAGGGCTCCAGCAGGACAACCAAGAGGTGCTGTCACTGGGTGAGGGGCTGACAGTGCGGAAGTGAACCAACAAGTGCGCACCGTCGGCACAGAACCCTGTACCTGGAGCTCGGAGGGGGGAGCGCAGGTGACGGAGCAAGGTGCCGGAGGCCGCCTGCCAAGCGGGGGCTCGGGAACCTCTGGAGACACTTCTGAGAAAGTGTGGAGTGAGTGCAGAGCGAGCCCACCGGGACCAGGGCCGGGGTTCCAGGGAGGGGAGGGCACGGCAAGTTCACGGCTTCTTGGCACCGGCTCTTGGGCCTCCTGCTGTGGCAGGACTCGAGCCCTGCTGGAGAACTTGGTGTCCCAGCCGCAGTCAGCCCCTGAGCCTTTGTCCCCCTGGATTTCCACCAAAGCAGTGCCATGCGCTCGGCTTCCTGGAACCCAGCGATCTTCCAGTGGGCCGAGCCTGGCCCGAGGTCGTCAGCTCGCGGTGGCCGTGCCGAGCCGGGTGCAGTCGGCCTCTCCACCCCCAGTCCCGCGCTCTCTCCCAGGCTGGGCGGTGGGTGTCCTGGCGCTCAGGGCCCGGCAGTGCAGACGGCAGGCGGTGATCTGGGGGGCCCACCCCTGTGCTCCTCAACCCGCGGAGTCCCGTGGTGGGAGGGTGGCAGCGGGAGGACCTCGGCCGCAGGGAGCCGCCGCTTCAGCCTGGCAGCGCTGCTGGCGGCCGGGGCCCTGCTCGGCCGGGGCGGGCGTTCCGGCCCCTCGAGCTTCTGTGGCGTCTGTCTGCCCAGTCCTGTTCCGTCCTCCTCTGTGGGATGACCCCTCCCTGTGGGAGCCACTGTGGTGGGGCTGCTGAGCAAGGTGTCCTGCCCTGGCCCGGCGGTGTGACCCCCACCCCCAGCAGAGGGGCCCTGGGAACAGCGTCTGGGCCAGGGTTCCTGCAGGGCTGCCCCGACTCCTGCATGAAGACCCTCCTGGGTGCGCCCGCTTCTTTCCTCGTTTGCCCAGTGGGCTCGCTTGTAACTGGGCCCCTGGCACACATACCTTCATTCGAACATGCCTTCGCCTCGACCCTGCCTTTTTTTTTTTTTATCCTCACCCGAGGACATTTTTCGATATTTTGTTCAGATAGAGTGGGAGGGAGGGAGGGAGGGAGGAAGGGAGGAAGGGAGGGGGAGAGAGAGAGAGAGAGGGAGAGAAACAGCGATGTGAAAGGGACACATCGAGTGGTTGCCACCCGCACGACCCAACCAGGGCCGGGGACAAACTGCAACCGAGGTTCGCTCCCTTAACAGGAACTGAACCCGGGTCTCTCTGGACCGCAGGCTGACGCTCTAACCACTGAGCCAAACTGGCCAGGGCTGGACCCTGACTTCTTACCTCCTTGGTTCACACACTGTTCTGGTTACTTGTTTCTAGAAAGATAGTCTCTAACTGGGCACTGAGGTTCTGTCTGTCAGATTCTGGAACTGGTTCTTCAGCTTCCGAGTCCAGGCCAGTGTCTTCCCGTGTCCCAGTGTCTGCTGCTCCAGGGCTCTGCTCCGCTGCCTTCTCGGGGCTGCGGGCCCTGGCACGACCCGGCTCTGAGACGGCCAGGGAATGAGCATCTCTGGGCGGGCAGGGGCGGCCGATGGCGCAGGGCAGCGCTGATTCCGACCAGGCTGAGTGCGGGTGTCCTCCGGGGCCTGAGCCCTGCTCTGCGGAAGGTCCCTCCTGGCGGGGAGGCCCTGTTACTTGGCTTGTCCTAGAGCCCACCCCAGACTCTGTTGTGTGTAGACACCTTCGGGGCTTCTGTTCCCACGGGACGAGGGACACGCTATTTCGAAAGTCCTGTTGTTTATAACAGAACTGGACTCTGAATAGATCATATCAAAGATACCTGTGTCTCACCCGTTAGGCAGCGCGCTCAGGTGAGAACACCCGTGTGGCGACACAGTTGTAGCCATTCGCACAGCTGCACCGTGGGTGCTGGGCGCTTCGTTGTGAGGGATGGTGTGGGGCAGAGGCGGGGTGCGGAGTTCCTGAGACTGCCGGGGCGCCCTGTTCTCATCCTCCTCACGTGTCCAAGCGCCCCGTAATACAGACTTCGTATAAAGAAGAGACACTGGCATTGAAACTGTGTCAAATATCAACATGATATTTTAAATTGCAAATATCAACAGGAACACATTTCTTTTTTCACTTAAAGTTTGTATTTCTTACATGTATCCAAAAATAAACAGTTAAAACCAACCAGGATGTGGGAGCGCCCAAAATGAAATACAGGTACTGACAAGTGACTCGGCTCTACCCCGAATGCAGCACCTGTTCTACTGAAGGGGTGCGGGCAGACCCGCCTGGACCGCGTGCACGGGGCTGGAGCGTCCTGGAGAACGTGTCCCATGCAGGTGGGTCCGCAGTTCTGAGCTACTCTGTGCTAGAACTGAACAAAGAAGTAATGGTGCTGGAAAGAATACAACCCAGGGCTTCTCACTGGTGGAGAAATGATCAGGAGACGGGCGAAATCAACCTGGGATGTTGGGTTGGAGTAGGAGGTATCTGTGTGAACTTAGGATTTCGGAAATACAGACCAATAGCTAGAGGCAGACGCGTGAATGTGGGAGTCGTGCGTGCTCACTGCCTGCTGGGAGGGCCCGTGACAGTGGCACCTGGAGTGAGGGGCACACTGAGCACCCAGACCTTGGTGTCTAACACAGATCTCCAAAGGAAGGAACCAGGCTCCTCGGAGAAGTGGTTGACTCCAGGGCTGTGACAGGGCCATCTTGTGGCACCAGAAAGTAAGGAAGGCTTTGAAAAAAAAGAAAAAGATGCCCTGTCTGGTGTGGCTCAGTTGGTTGGGCATCCTCCTGTGCACCCAAAGGTTGCCGGTGCGATTCTGGTCAGGACACATGCCCAGGCTGCATGCTTGATCCCTGGTTAGGGGGCGTGCAGGAGGCAGCCGATCAGTGTTTCTCTCTCACATCGATGTTTCTCTCTCTCCCTTCCTCTCTAAAAATCAATCAACAATCTTAAAAAAAAAATTAAAAAAGAAGATGGGGGAGGGGGCTTGTTAGAAAAATGTAGGAGCTGACCTAAAGGAACTCTCAATAGCCAAGCTTGAGTGACACAACAAATAATGATAGGACTGGACTCTCACACGATAGAAGTAAACACCCACAAGCCCACATCGATGTGAATAAACAGCTGATTCAGTGAGAGGTGGAGACGTGGCAGGTCCCCTTGCAGTTCTAAGAAACGGATGAGACAGGGACGTGAACCTGAAGAGTTGCTGCTGGGATCTCCCGACGGCCCAGGAGCCACGTGCCACCCAGGGCACCGACTGCCACCGACGGGGGCGCTCTCTGAGCGAACGTTGGTAGTTTGGGACTTTAAGGCATTTGTTGATTTCATCTACATCGTCAGTTATTGGCATAAACTTTCATTTAATACCCATACGGTCCATGTTGATCTCCTCCCTCATTCTTGATATTAACTGGTCTTCTCTCTTTTTTCTCATCAGTGTCGGTGGAGGTTTGTCACGTGACTGAGTTCTGTTCTGATTTCTTCTTTGCCTCATGGAGTATGTTAGTTTCCAGATACTTGGAGTGTTTCAGATACCCCTTCGTGCTGGATTTCTAGCTTAGTTTCTGTTTAGTCGGAAAACATATTTGAACGGCTGGACTTGAGTCCTTTAAAATGTACCGAGACTTATTTTATAGCCCCAAAGATGCGTATCTGGTGAATGTTCTAGGTGCTTTGAAAAAGAATGTGATGTTGTTTACAGAGTGTTTTATAAATGCCTTTCTGGTCAAGCTGGGTGATCGTGTTGTCATAGCTTTTCTGTTCTTGCTATTTTTCTGTCTACTTGTTCTAGCAATTACTAAGAGCAGGGTGTTGAAATTTCCAGCTGTAACTAGATTCGTCCATTTCTTCGTACACTTCTGTTAATTTTGTCTTCATGTAGGGAGCTCTGTTATCGGGCACATGACTGTTTGGGATTGTGTGTCCTCTTGACGAATTGACCCGTCATCCTGTGGAACGGCTTTCTCTGTCCCTGGGGAGAGCCTTTCTGTGGCATCGCCTTTGTCCCATGTGAGTGTGGCTGTTACAGCTTCCTTTTGATTCGTATTTGCACGATGTCTCTGAATTTCCATCTATTTGTATCTTTACACTTAAAATGGGTCCCTTGTAGGCAGCATTATACTCGGGTCTGTGAACCTGGGGAAGATTCATTTCACAATACCAAGTGCATGACCTCCTCTGAATCGGTCTCAGCCCTGCCTCAGCCCTGCCTCACCGATTCCTCTTTGAACCCTGGCAAAGATCGATCTTGCTTTTTTTATCCAATCACACAACCTGTGTACACCCTTTAACTGGGGGTTGGGTGGACCAGTGGATACGGTAATTGATAGACGTGGGTTGAAAGCTACCATCTTTCTGTTTGTTTTCTCTCTGTCACTTTTTTTGTTCTTTTTTCTTCTGCCTTCATTTTGGGTAATGTTTCTGAGCGTATATTTTTATTGACTTGCTGACTGGAACTTCGGGCTGCTTCGGGTTGGTAGCGGATAGCCTGCCGGCAGGTGACAGTGTGCTGCGCTCCGCACCTGGGACGCTCCGCACCTGGGGCGTAGGGCTGTGCGTCCCATGCCCCGCCTAGTCCGGGTTATTTTTGGCATTTCTTAGTACTACGATATAAATGTCTCAGTGTATTATTATCTTTGCTTCAAACAGTTCTCTTTTAGAGAAAGTCATCGCAAGAGAAGACGTCTGTTGATCTGTGGAGCTCCCACCTGCAGGCTCTCCGTTCCTGTGGGTGGAGCTGCGTTTCCGTCTGGGATTCTTTTCCTTCTGCCTGGAGGTCTCCGTGGTAGTGCTGTCCGTGCGGCTCTGCCAGCGCTGAGCATCTCTGTCCGCACCCTGCCAGTCCGCCGCTTCTGTCCCAGCTTGTGCCTGGCAGCTGGCCGCATGCAGGCTGCCCGCGCGGAGCCCGGGGAAGGGTCTCAGCCTCGCGGGGACGCCGGCGAGGAGCAGGTGTGCACGGCGTCTGGGCAAAACCCGGCTCTGGGCTGGAGCTGTTTTCATCGAGGGTAAAATACAGAAGAACCACCACCAGGGCCTCAGACCGGTGTCCCTGGAGGCGGGGAGAGGGACTCCTCTGAAATGCGAAGGCAGCCTGCCCTCTAGAAATGATTCACGGTTGAAATCAGGAAACAAATTTCAAAGGTGGGCGAGGCGAAGCCGTGCCCATGGGTAGGAGAGGCGGCTATGGCGAGCGGGTCAGTAGGCGAGGAGAAGCCGTGCCCATGGGTAGGAGAGGCGGCTATGGCGAGCGGGTCAGTAGACGAGGAGAAGCCGTGCCCATGGGTAGGAGAGGCGGCTATGGCGAGCGGGTCAGTAGGCGAGGAGAAGCCGTGCCCATGGGTAGGAGAGGCGGCTATGGCGAGCGGGTCAGTAGGCGAGGAGAAGCCGTGCCCATGGGTAGGAGAGGCGGCTATGGCGAGCGGGTCAGTAGACGAGGAGAAGCCGTGCCCATGGGTAGGAGAGGCGGCTATGGCGAGCGGGTCAGTAGGCGAGGAGAAGCCGTGCCCATGGGTAGGAGAGGCGGCTATGGCGAGCGGGTCAGTAGGCGAGGAGAAGCCGTGCCCATGGGTAGGAGAGGCGGCTATGGCGAGCGGGTCAGTAGACGAGGAGAAGCCGTGCCCATGGGTAGGAGAGGCGGCTATGGCGAGCGGGTCAGTAGGCGAGGAGAAGCCGTGCCCATGGGTAGGAGAGGCGGCTATGGCGAGCGGGTCAGTAGAGACCACAGGCGATGGAGGACAGGGAAGCGGGGACAGACGGTGTGGTTAGAGCCTGTAGTGGAAGCCACGGGAGCACAGCTGATCGCATGGATTAGGGCGACGTGAGAACGCTCGAGAAGGCGCCTGGGCGTGAGAAACAGCAGACATCCCGGGGTGACGGGCGGTCTGCCCGACATGGAGGGGTCCCTGAAGAACGTCAGTGAGGAGCATTTCCTGAGTGGAAAGACCTACGTGTACTGAAAGGTTCCTGTTTGGAGCAGAAGAAATGAAAGGAGGCTCTTACCGCCATCTTCTGAAAACGTGCTTGAATTTCAAGATTAAAAAAGTTTCTAGTGGAATCCAGACAGAATAAAGTAACAATAACAGCAGCACCATCATAACTCAGCCCCAGAGACTCTCCGGGAAGAAAACATTGCTCCGCTGACAGGTTTTCTGCAACGCAGAGGGTGGGGCATGTCTACAGATTTCAGCGAGAAATGTCTGCGAGCTAAGACTCTTATACTCAGCCAAGGTGGCCTTGTGTGAAGGATACAGTGCCACCTGAGATTGGCAAGGGTTTGCAAAACATACCATCTACATTGCCTTTAAGAAAATAGTGTTCCTTCTGACCAAGAGATGAATAAAAATTCTGAGCCTGAGAAAAATGTGTCACTGTTTCATAGGGAAATAACCAGATACAGAACCATAATCATAAAGATACTGACCACAGAGGTACAGATACGAGTCCTTGGAAACCACCTAACTAGCAGCCTTGAGGAGGGATCCCTTCCATGGTGTGCTGCCTGAGTTCCCTGGTTATGAGGAAGAGGGAAAAAAGGTCCTCAAGTAATTTAATCAAGAGCAGGAATTTGTCTCACTAGCAAAGCAACAGGTGCCAGAGGTCTCAGAAGTGCCTACGCCAGGGTCAGGAGGAGAATTTTTAGAAGTACCATTTTTTCCAGTGTATTTCTATATTTTGATGCAAAAAGTAATACATGCTCATCACAAAGTTTAAAAAGTCTCTCGTGATGCCACTGCGTGGAGCAGAGGCTTGATGTGGGAGTCCTGGACTTGTCTCGGTCTCTGACCTGTGGACCAGTGTGGTCTTAGAGAGACAGTTTGATGGGGGAGGGACAGCTGCTGTCACAAAGCCTTCTAGTCTGTGCTGCCAGGGGTGTGAAGGACATTGGAGAATGGGCTGTGATGTCGGCACAGAGAGGAGATGCAGCTGGGACCTGGTGTGGGCAAGAGGCAAGAAAAACTTGTCAGGACGTGACCAAACGTCTGCCTCTGCTGTGACATCATGGGTGACTTAAATGCTGCCCTGTGATACGCGTGCTACATTATCAGGAGAAAATGGAAACCAGTTGAGGAAAGGGGGATGACGGAGGTGGGGACGCAGGGATGATGGAGGAGAGGAGAGCTGATGCAGACTGGACGCGTTGCCGCTGGTGCGCGTGGCTGTGGGCGGGGCGGGGGTGTGTACGCATGGAAACTTGTGGGAGAAGGCCAGAGTGACTCCCTGTGACATGTTCCCCACCCATGGTGCCGTGGTTAGAAACACTGCCCTGCAGATCGTTTTCACCCATGTTCACGCGTGTTCACTACCAAGCCCCAAGTGCCCCGTGTCAGCAGAAACGCTGCCCTGCAGTTGTTTTCACCCGTGTTCACTATCAAGCCCCAAGTGCCCCGTGTCAGCAGAAACTCTGCCCTGCAGTTGTTTTCACCCGTGTTCACGCGTGTTCACTACCAAGCCCCAAGTGCCCCGTGTCAGCAGAAACTCTGCCCTGCAGGTAGTTTTCACCCGTGTTCACGCGTGTTCACTACCAAGCCCCAAGTGCCCCGTGTCAGCCAGAAACACTGCCCTGCAGATTGTTTTCACCCGTGTTCACCCGTGTTCACTACCAAGCCCCAAGTGCCCCGTGTCAGCAGAAACTCTGCCCTGCAGGTAGTTTTCACCCGTGTTCACGCGTGCTCACTACCAAGCCCCACGTGCCCCGTGTCAGCAGAAACACTGCCCTGCAGATTGTTTTCACCCGTGTTCACCCGTGTTCACTACCAAGCCCCAAGTGCCCCGTGTCAGCTGAAACGCTGCCCTGCAGATTGTTTTTACCCGTGTTCACCCGTGTTCACTACCAAGCCCCAAGTGCCCCGTGTCAGCAGAAACTCTGCCCTGCAGGTAGTTTTCACCCGTGTTCACGCGTGCTCACTACCAAGCCCCACGTGCCCCGTGTCAGCAGAAACACTGCCCTGCAGATTGTTTTCACCTGTGTTCACGCGTGCTCACTACCAAGCCCCAAGGGCCCCGTGTCAGCAGAAACACTGCCCTGCAGGTAGTTTTTACCCATGTTCACGCGTGTTCACTACCAAGCCCCAAGGGCCCCGTGTCAGCAGAAACACTGCCCTGCAGGTAGTTTTTACCCATGTTCACGCGTGTTCACTACCAAGCCCCAAGGGCCCCGTGTCAGCCAGAAACACTGCCCTGCAGATTGTTTTCACCCGTGTTCACGCGTGTTCACTACCAAGCCCAAGGGCCCCGTGTCAGCAGAAACGTCCAGATGACTGTCCTGCCGACAGGTGGAGAAACGAGTGCGAACAAGCGCGGTGCCCTGGTTCACCTCCTGACTGGTCTGTATTCTGTCTCCCCACCCAGGTCCTCCCCTGAACCGGTACACACACTGCCTCAGGCCACCTGGCGTTGACGTGGCCGTGGCCCTTGCCCATCGCTGTACTTGGATGTGTCGGCGGGACCCTGGAGCTCTGTGGGGCCTTGTCTCCGTGGAAGTTCCGAGCCACTGAGTCGCGGACAGGAAGACGCTGCCAGCGATGAGCTCCCAGAGCCATCCAGGTACGTGAGCGTGGGGTGCGGGGGGAGGGCGTCTCGGCGCTGCAGCTTGTCTCCGGCTTGTAGGCTGGTTTTGCAGGACAGTGGCCCCTGGTGGTCTGTGACAGCGCCTGGCGCAGAGTAGATTGTCCTTCGTCTCAGGACAGACGCGCGGGTAGAGCCCTGGGGAGTCCCGGGCGCAGGCTCTGCTGAGGCACACTGACTCGTGTGGCAGAGGCGTGTCCTCAGCGCTTTATCGAGGTGCTGTTGAAAGGTCAGTTTGTGATCTGGAGGGTTCATTTCCTACCCAGTGTCTTTGCTCCTGGGGGCCTTGGGCGGGTGAATCTGTGCAGGTCCTGCTGCTGGAGTGTAGTTTGTCAGGCCCTGCACGAGGCGTGTCCCCATGTTGGTCTTCCCAGCGCCCTGAAGCCTCAGGCCTGGAGGGAACAGTGCCTTGTCTGGGTCCCAGAGTTAGTGGCTGGGCGGCATTGGGAACTGCTTTGGGAGCCACGTCGGGTGGCCTTGCTTCAGAAGTGTGTTGTGGGCACACACCTTTAGGACCAGCCCAGAGCAGCTGCTGACGAAAGCCTAGGGTCCTCCTCCGCAACTCCCAGTCCTGGCCCTCGGGGCAGGTCTGCAGCAGTTCCGTCCTGTGTCCACCTCGTGGGCAGAGCTGGACCCCCTTCAGCTGCCCACACCTCTGTCAGCTGGGCTGTGGAGTCGGGGCCTGCACCTTTGGGATTGCCCAGAACCTTCCCACACTCTCCCCCGGCCCAGCTGGAGCTGTCTGAAGCCCCGGAGGGCGGTGACGCAGTCACATGCAGATAAGAAGGCTTTAACGGTCTGAGTTGTCCATGTATTGATTGATAGCATGTGTGAAACAAAATTAAGTGTCTGGATCAAAGTGTGTCAAGCAGACCTCAAGAGGTGCCCCGCTCTCCCTCCCGCCGAGGGAGCCAGGCCTCCCTCCGTGTCTGCGCACAGGGGTCCACACGCGAATGTTTTCATGACGTGCAGTCATCCCATATGCGGCTTCTGTTTTATTTTCCTTGCATTTCAATGTAGTATGAGCGTCTTTCGATGTCAGTATGTGTGTAAGTCTAGCTTCTTTGGTAGCTTGTGGATGAGTGTTTATGTGGTTGCAGCACTATTTATCGCAGCCCCAAATTGGCATCAGACAATTATTATGCATATGGTTTGTCCTTGCACTTCTGTAAGTATCTATCTGTGCTAGATTGATTCCAAGAAGCAGAATCGCTCGGTCGGTGGGCACGGTGGGTGCGCCTTTAAAACAGGAGGATTGCTCTCAGACTGCTCTGGAAACTGTCGACTTACCCTGGGTAGCCCGGGTCTCTCAGTAAAGGAAACGCATTGCTCTTTGTGCGCCTTTAAAACAGGAGGATTGCTCTCAGACTGCTCTGGAAACTGTCGACTTACCCTGGGTAGCCCAGGTCTCTCAGTAAAGGAAACGCATTGCTCTTTGTGAACTGTTCCTTTGCCCAGAAGTTTATTGTCTCCTGAAGGCATTTCTGCATTTCTGCCCAGAGCTGCGGGGCCGACCAGCATGTCCCCAGGTGCTTGTCCCAGCCTGCGAAGCCTTCTTTCCCTTTCGGCTCCTCTGCGTGAGGAGCAGAGCTGCGCTGCCGTCTCTCCTCCCAAGGGTCTGCCGTCTGTTTGTTGTAGTCGCCGACCTGTCCGGTTGCGTGTGCTGTTGCCACCGGCTGACCCCTGCCTCTCTGTCCCTCCGATGGGTTAAAGACTGCAGGCAGAGAGGGGCTGGCGCTGGCCCCGCCACAGGGTGGGCTGGGCTGTGGACCTGTGCCCTCCCCGTGTTCGGGCTGCTGTCTGTCCTGCCCGGTGGTGGACCGATCGTTGAGATTGTTTTCCTGTCTCTTTGATCACATCAGGTTTGTTTTCTAGGCGATTCCTTGAGTCTGTGTCAGTTAATTCCGTCCCCGCTGTCTAGCATTGCAGTGCACCCTTTTACAGTTCTGTTCTGTTTAGTGATTTTAGAGAAATTAATACTCACTTCCTTAGTGTGCCATTTTGAACAGGAAGTTTCTAATGTCTCTTCTTCAACCCAAGGAGGAGCCCTGTCTCTGTCTCATCCTCTCTGGACCCAGACTGTTCAGCCTCCCTGGCCATGGGCCCCCATCTCCCTCATCATCTAAATGTCTTTTCTCTGGCTGTGCCCCAATCCTACCTTGCCCTCAGGGGCCCTCACTGTCCCCCAGGGACCCTCACACATCCCTGGGCCTTCACTGTCCCCCCGGGGCCTTCACTGTCCCCCCGGGGCCTTTAATGACCCCTGGGAGCCTCACTGTCCCCACCCCAGGAGCATCATTGCCCCCCACGGGGACCCTCACTGACCCCTCCGGGGCCCTCACTATAATCCCGCGGCTCTCACTGTCCTTCGAGGCCTCACGGTCCCCCCAGGCCCTCACTGTCCCCTGAGGCCTTCACTGACCCCAGGGCACTCACTGTCCCCCCGGGGCTCTTCACTGACCCCCCAAGGCCTTCACTCACCATGGGGCCCTCACTGTCCCCCCCCACCCACACTGTCCCCCCCCAACCCTCACTGTCCCTCCCCAACCCTCACGTACCCCCCCAGGCCCTCACTGTCCCCCTGAACCCTCGCTGCTGTCCCCTTCCTCCTGCATACTTTCAGTGCAGTTTGCCTTTGCTGCGATGATAAAATGACCTTTTTATTTGATGTGTGTGATTCTCTGTTCTGTTTTCCTTTCACACTCCCTCTGGTGGGTGAGGCGCGCATTAGGGTTTTATTGCCGAGCTTTATGAACGCCACAGAGCCGGGCCCTGGTTCCCTGACGTAAAGCCGCTACTGCTGGGGTTTTATCGTTCTCAATCAATGCTTGTACTGGTGTGAGCAGCCTGCCCAAGGGGCCTGGATTGACTCAGCCCCACAGAACTCTTCTTGGACAGTAAAGATTGGGAAGAGGCTCTGAAATACTGTGTTTATTGCCTAATTCCATGCTCCAAACCTTTTCCTGTTGGGATGTGCTAAACAGATCAGGATAGATGCATAGGACACAGGGCTCCTGCCTGGACGGCGCATCTCTGCCTGAGATGGAGGGACATTGACCCCATGTGGGCCTATTGCCAGACACATGGAGGCTTCCTTTCCTCCCCCACTTTTGTTCCCTCTCATGCAGACTGCAGGTTGACCCATGAGCAGTGTACAGGGAGTGCTGTGCTGGGAGTGGGAGCCCGGGAGCGCTGTGCTGGGAGTGGGAGCCCGGGAGCTCTGTGCTGGGAGTGGGAGCCCGGGAGCGCTGTGCTGGGAGTGGGAGCCCGGGAGCGCTGTGCTGGGAGTGGGAGCCCGGGAGCGCTGTGCTGGGAGTGGGAGCCCGGGAGCGCTGTGCTGGGAGTGGGCCGGGAGCGCTGTGCTGGGAGTGGGAGCCCGGGAGCGCTGTGCTGGGAGTGGGAGCCCGGGAGCGCTGTGCTGGGAGTGGGCCGGGAGCGCTGTGCTGGGAGTGGGAGCCCGGGAGCGCTGTGCTGGGAGTGGGAGCCCGGGAGCGCTGTGCTGGGAGTGGGACCCCGGGAGCTCTGTGCTGGGAGTGGGAGCCCGGGAGCGCTGTGCTGGGAGTGGGAGCCCGGGAGCGCTGTGCTGGGAGTGGGAGCCCGGGAGCGCTGTGCTGGGAGTGGGAGCCCGGGAGCGCTGTGCTGGGAGTGGGAGCCCGGGAGCTCTGTGCTGGGAGTGGGAGCCCGGGAGCGCTGTGCTGGGAGTGGGAGCCCGGAGCGCTGTGCTGGGAGTGGGACCCCGGAGCTCTGTGCTGGGAGTGGGAGCCCGGGAGCGCTGTGCTGGGAGTGGGAGCCCGGGAGCGGCTGTGCTGGGAGTGGGAGCCCGGGAGCGCTGTGCTGGGGAGTGGGAGCCCGGGAGCGCTGTGCTGGGAGTGGGAGCCCGGGAGCGCTGTGCTGGGAGTGGGAGCCCGGGAGCGCTGTGCTGGGAGTGGGAGCCCGGGAGCGCTGTGCTGGGAGTGGGAGCCCGGGAGCGCTGTGCTGGGAGTGGGAGCCCGGGAGCGGCTGTGCTGGGAGTGGGAGCCCGGGAGCGGCTGTGCTGGGAGTGGGGAGCCCGGGAGCGCTGTGCTGGGAGTGGGAGCCCGGGAGCGCTGTGCTGGGATGGGAGCCCGGGAGCGCTGTGCTGGGAGTGGGAGCCCGGGAGCGGCTGTGCGGGAGTTGGGAATCCCGGGAGTGGGAGCCCGGGAGCGGCTGTGCTGGGAGTGGGAGCCCCGGGAGCTCTGTGCTGGGAGTGGGAGCCCGGGAGCGCTGTGCTGGAGTTGGGACCCGGAGGTCTGTGCGGGATTGGTCCCCGGGAGCGCTGTGCTGGGGAGTGGGAGCCCGGGAGCTCTGTGCTGGGAGTGGGAGCCCGGGAGCTCTGTGCTGGGAGTGGGAGCCCAGTGTGCCGGAGCGCTGTGCTGGGAGTGGGAGCCCGGGAGCTCTGTGATGGGAGTGGGAGCCCGGGAGCTCTGTGCTGGAGTGGGAGCCCGGGAGCGCTGTGCTGGGAGTGGGAGCCCGGGAGCGCTGTGCTGGGAGTGGGCCGGGAGCGCTGTGCTGGGAGTGGGAGCCCGGGAGCGCTGTGCTGGGAGTGGGACCCCGGGAGCGCTGTGCTGGGAGTGGGAGCCCGGGAGCGCTGTGCTGGGAGTGGGAGCCCGGGAGCTCTGTGCTGGGAGTGGGAGCCCGGGAGCTCTGTGCTGGGAGTGGGAGCCCAGTGTGCCGGGAGCGCTGTGCTGGGAGTGGGAGCCCGGGAGCTCTGTGCTGGGAGTGGGAGCCCGGGAGCTCTGTGCTGGGAGTGGGAGCCCGGGAAGCGCTGTGCTGGGAGTGGGAGCCCGGGAGCGCTGTGCTGGGAGTGGGCCGGGAGCGCTGTGCTGGGAGTGGGAGCCCGGGAGCGCTGTGCTGGGAGTGGGAGCCCGGGAGCTCTGTGCTGGGAGTGGGAGCCCGGGAGCTCTGTGCTGGGAGTGGGAGCCCAGTGTGCCGGGAGCGCTGTGCTGGGAGTGGGAGCCCGG